GATCACACAGACTGGTGCACTTCTTCCATGTGGGCTTTGTTGCTTTTCAACTAGCTGGCCACTTGTTTATCTTCAAGCCTTTAAGACCCCAGATGCTATATCTTTTGATAACCAGGCACCATCAGCTTTCTTCACCACATTTGCTTAGGCACCCGCTTTGCCTTCAGTGATCCTGCTGGGAAGGTGAGCATCGTGGACCGCCAGTTTAATAGGGAGTACTTGAGTGGAGGTCCATCTGCTACCTTAACACTAAACCTGTAAATGTATGCACATAGAGCTATTTCCCCATCATCAAATAAAAATATATTTACATATGTACATGTCTATATTTAGACCTCTATAAATGTCCTTTGCCTCCTAGTTCTTTCCTCTATCTATTTCCTTTTACTTTCCTTTTGTCCCACTATCATGCTTAGCCTTCATTTGGGTTTCAGTAATTCCTCTCGGTTACATTGCCCTTGATCAAGCTCTACCAGGCCTCCTACACCCTCCTTGCTATCGATTTGGGATCACTTGTTCCCCTGTCCCTGGGTTTGTTAACACCCACTTCCTTTCCCCCACATCCCCCTCTTCCATGTCCCCCCCAGAATCGTCCATCCCATTTTCTCCTCCAGATTGTTTATCCGCCTATCTTATCAAGATAGACCTGCAGAGATAATAATATGCACAAAAAACAAGACAGCAAAACAAAAGCAACAAAAGAAAACAAAACAGAAAAACAATGACAGGAAAAAAGAGAAACGCCTGTAAATAGTTCAAGTTCTGTTTGTTGGCCTTTAGGAGTATTTACTGGTTGAGTCTGATGGGGCGCCACGCCCTGGCCCCAAAGTCTATTTTTGGTGTTCCCTCAGGACTTCCTTGCTCTGCTCTCTTGCTGTTCTGTTGCACGCCCTTAATGTTTTGCTTGTTGTGGTGGGGACCACAATCAATTTTATAACATTTTCTTCTTCCATGACCTCATTGTTGTTTGTGTAATTATCTTAATTGTGACAAAATTAACACATAACAAAACATTCTCCGATACAACTTCTACTTGTGTGATTCAGTGCCGTTGATTGTGTTGTACGATTATTGATGTCCTTTTCTAAATTATTCCACCACATTGACATGAACTCAATGCTCTCTGATCAAAAACTCTTCCTTCTTCACCCATGGTCACCATTGGCCAAGTTTGTTTTCTTTGATGTAATAGTTTTCTTGATAAAATATTCATATATCATACACTTCCATAGTTAAATTGCTTATAAAAAGAGTTGTAGGTACATCATCGTAATCAGTTCTAGTGCTGTGTGTCTCTACCCCTACCCCTACCCCACCAGTTAAGGAACTTTCTACCACGAAGACCCGGAGAGCCCCTTAAATTCAGGGTCAGCTGAAATAGGTCCCTATGAGTGTATCAGTTCAAGAAGCTCACGGCCACGGGGTGGATGCTGACTTGTAGCGACTCTGTAGGACACAGGAGAACTGCAAATGTGGGTTTCTAAGATTGTAAATCTTTACGGGAGTAGAAATCCTCTGTCTCCCAGGGAGCTACTGGTGGCTTTGAACTGCTAACCTTGTAATGACAAGTCCAGTGTGTAGCCCACTATGTGCCCGGGGCTCCTCGGTGGAGCTGTTACCTCACAGGATTTGGAGCCAGCAAAATTCTGTCCTAGAAGTGATCTTGGGTAAGCACTTCATGAATCACTGAATCGTCGTTGAGTTTCTGGAATGTATACGGTGTGCCCATCCTTGCCTTCACGCAGCACTCGGCCTTGTGGATGTAGGTATAGATGGAAATCACTGGGGGGTTGTTGCTAGCTGCCTTCCATTAGCTCCTGCCTCAAGATGACTCCACACCAAAAGGATCGGACTGATGCCAGCTGTAGGGTTTTCACTGGCTGTGATTTCGGAAGCAGATCGCCAGGCCTTTCTTCGTGGTCTTAGCTTCCTCTGGAAGCCCACTGAAACCGTTCAGCCTCACAGCAACGCACAGGCCTCCAGTGACCACGTACTGGCTGTGCTTGGGGCATATTGGCCAGGAATCAAACCCAGGCGTCCCGCATGGAAGGCAAGAATTCACCACAGAACCACCACTGCCACATCAAATCAACTCAAAAACAAGACAGGTTGCACGAGGAGGAAAAGACTGTTCCGGTCAGGAAGACGTGGAGGCTTGAGCTGCGCTTCCTAGAAGGGAGGTCATTCCAGGCTGAAGGAGCAGGCTGAATAGGAGCTGTGTGGGTGTGAAGGTGCTGACAGCGATCTGGGATGTGTAGAACGGGCTGGCAGACCTACTCTGGGAAAGGATTACATAGTAGGTATTTAAGGTGTTGTGGGTTTCTGCTGCAACTCCCTAAC